AAAGAGAGAGTTATGTACACCGAAAATATATAAATTGTAACTCAACACATTTAATATCTTCACAGTAAAAAAACAAGTCCCTTGCAGAACGGTTCAGATACTTAAATACCCAGATAGCGATTTTTAGTCTTCTACATAAGTGTTTGGACGCTACTTATGTTTACTATGAATGAAGCCTATTAATTACTTTTCTACAGCAGTAACTGCACACCAGGAAGGCCAACGACAAACACCAAATCAAATGGAGATGGAGTTTCCAAAGCTGCAAGTGTGAAAAGACTCATAAACATTATTCCAAACCACACTCTCAGGTTTTCTTTGCTATATGAATCCATCCAAGTGGAATAAGGAATGGAGATGTGTAAAAAGGTTTCTTGAAGGGAAGAAGGATGACACCCTGTATGCATTTAGTTTTCAGCCCCTTCTGCGGCATCACATTCTTCTCCTGCACTGTCTGATGTCCATAGCTAGAAAAAAAGAATCACATTATGTTACTATTCCTAGATTAGACAATCGTATCTAGTTCCACTGTTGTATCAAATGTAATTCTGAGAGCAGTAAATTCCTGAAACAACAGAGATCTTGACTAAGACTGCAAAGTTTTCTCTCTCACCCTTCCCAAAGTGTATCCTTGCAGACTTTTCACTACATATTTACAAAATGACACACACATACACATCATTGGAGTATGTCTTTACAGATTACTTCTTTTTTAAATTTTTGTCTTGCTCTGTCAATGGGCTAGAAGTGCTGTGGCATCAGCCTAGCTCACAGCAACCTCAAACTCCTGGGCTCAAGCTATCCTCTTGCCTCAGCCTCCTACGTAAGTGAGACTACAGGTGTGTACCACCACAACCAGCTAATTTTTTCTATTTTTTCAGTTGTCTGGCTAATTTCTATTTGTTTTGTTTGTTTGTTTTTAGTAGAGATGGGGTCTCGCTCTTGCTCAGGCTGGTCTCGAACTCCTGACCTCAAGTGATCCTCCTGCCTTGGCCTCCCAGAGTGCTAGGATTACAGGCATGAGCTGACACGCACGGCCTACAGGTTGCTTTTTATTTAAAAAGCACCATAATTTCAGAATAAACAAGGTTATTTCCTTAGAATCTAATGCTCTCTCCATTCCCAGCAGTTAACTGCTCTTCTTAAAAGCACTACTGCAATATAATTTACTAAGCTAATAAGGTCAAAAACTTTTACAGGGAAGGAAAAACCATGGCCATGGTAACTATTTCCAAGTATGTGAAGGACTAACAGATACCAAAAAAAGCAAACTTATCTTGTCTGCTCTAAGAGTTAAAGAGAAGTGGGTGATGGAAGCTATAGGGAAGTAGCATGTGTATATGTATGTATAAAGAGGGTCCTTTAATTAGATAGGATGCTAAAACATAATGGATCTCCAAGGATCTTTTGAATTTTAGGATGGGAAGATAAAGTGAAGAAAGGAACAGTAAGTATTGATTATTATAATCAGCTCAAAAATGCATTTTATTAGACAACACCAAGACACTACTGGCAATATTAGAAAAGCCAGAATCTTACATAATCTGTAAGTTAAAACCAAAATCTCCTGAAGAACTGTCTCCATAAGACAGAAAAGAAAACCAGTTAAAAGACAGCTACAGGTGTAACTGGGAAGAGGTGTAACCACCCAGTTTGCTCTCCTCTTGAACCAGCTATGTGTGGATCATCTTCTCTTGTCCCCTCACAACTACAGGTAGCTCCCATGGCTAGAAACCCAGCTGTCTTCATTTCCCTTTCAGTGGATACATAATTTCCCTGTTCAGCAAAGTTGACATGGTGCTAATATATATATTCCTACCCAGTAAAAAATAAAGCCCTAAAGTAGGGGGCTAGGAAGACTGCATTTATATTAAAAGATACATTCCCTCCTTTTACATTCTGTTAAGTCTAAGACTTTACCTATCAAATTTACTTGAACCTATAAAAGAATGCTAAAATAAAGCTCAACAGTGCTTTTTCTCAATTACTTCCTTCTCAGCTGCCTACCCAAGAAGTAGAGAGAAAAACAAAAGAAAAAGACAAAACAGAGGCCTTGGCCCAGAAGCAAAAGTGGAATTAATTAATGAGACAGAAGTAGGATTTATTTATTTATGTATGTATTATTTTGAGACAGAGTCTTGCTCTGTCATCCTAGCTAGAGTAAGTACAGTGGTGTCATTATAGATCACTGCAACCTCAAACTCCTGGGCTCAAGCAATCCTCCTGAGTAGCTGGGACTACAGGTGCACACCACTGCACCTGGCTGATTTTTCTTTCTTTCTTTTTTTTAATAGAGATAGGGTCTAACTCTTGCTCAGGCTAGTCTCAAACTCCTGAGCACAAAGGATTCTCCTGCCTCGGCCTCCCAGAGTGCCAGGATTACAGGCGTGCGCCATCATGCTCAGCCTGAGAAGTGGAATAAATTTAGAAACAGATTTATTCCCTATCAAATGCTTGTAGAACATCATGCATAATGCACAAAGTAAAATTCTATTACAACGAGGTGCTTCAGGCAATTTTAAGAAAGCCTAGATACCTAGATAGTTCCTAACTTGCTATAGCTAATGTGCCCAAATTAAAAAAGAAAAAACTGAAACTTCAAAAGGTCTCTATATTAACATAATTCTTCAACATCTTCATTCCAATGAAACGATCATGTTAATATTCTGAATTCTTACAATCTTAGTACCTTCTCAGGAAGGTCTGATAAAATGCCTATTCAAATACCTACAAAACCTGCCTACAAAATAATGGTTATCCTATACAAAATTGTCCTACACAAAATACTAACAAGCACCTAATACTTTTTACTTATATATCTATATATTCATTTTCTAAGAAACTGTAGTTCTTATGTAACTTCCCCAAAAGATAGGAAGCCCTAAATAAAATATACCTTTGTTCCTAAAAAGGAAAAAAAAAAGTAAAAGAGTGAAAAACTCACTGTTAGGTTGTCTCTAAGCAACTGCATGATGAGGGTGCTGTCTTTGTATGAGTCTTCATTCAGTGTATCAAGTTCTGCAATGGCCTCATCAAAAG